CTTGTGGCTCTATCGTACGAGACATCTCGCACACAGCCCCTAGCTCGGCCAAATCATAAATTCACGATTGCCGACACCGCGCATTGCATGCGGGCACCGTAAGCAGCCCGGGCGATCAGCAGCTCGCAGCTCGCAGCGCGTTGTGTGCGTGTGCATGCGGAACCCACCCAGACTTCAGATCGAGGGACCCCTGACGCAGGAGGCAGCTTCTAAAGTTTGAATCTTGTTCCTCGCCAGATCCACCGCTGCTCGATGCACACAAGGACCGTCGAATCTCGCTCCGCATTCCCCTCTCACCCTTTTTCTTGGCTTCAAAAGCTCACCAAAGGCCGCGACAGGTCATTTGATCATGAAGGGATTCTTTGCGAGGCCAGGAGCAGGGCGCGCAGCTGGAGCGACACCGGGAGGAGCGGCAAACGCAGCAGCGGGAGCTTTGGCGTCCTTGTCCCTCCCTGCCTACCCTCAGCCGCTGCCAGAGAAGCTCCTCTCCATTCACGTCACGGAAGCGGGACTACTCATCATTCCGCAGCAGCCACATCATCACTCGATGGAGGCAACGAATCGCACGCAAAGCTCGAGACCTGCACCCTCACCACTACGGACTACGGACGAGGCTAGATCGCAAGATGTCGCGCACGAGAAGCGCCGGGAGGATAGGTCGTTATCAATGCAACACTCTGCACCGCTAGGCGCTTCCAGTCGAGCTAGCACTTCCGCTGCGGGTGGGAGTGGTAGCACAGCAGTCAAGATAAGTTGGGGCAGGAGCGCAAAGGTCTCGAGCTTGACCGTTAAACAGGCCAAGGAGAAGCTGAGCAACGTTGGCGAGCTCAATGAGGGCGCTGAAACATTTGCTTACGGCGTAGTGGGATTGATCAGGGTCTTCAAAGGTGAGCAATCGCCGCATACAGGCCAGCTCATGCGCATGACTCCGGCTAAACGAGATTCTTGCGTCTAAAACTGCAAATGCAGCTGCGTATCTCTTGGTAGTCACCAGTCGAACGCATGCAGGCGACTTTCTACACACCTCTTGTCCTGTGTACCGCTCCACAGGAGTGCTCAGCATTCCACTCGAACCTCAGAGAGCTCGAGAGGCGCTTCGAAGCGAGTCGCTAAGGCAAGCAAAAGTCCCCGCACAAACGCAGTCGAGCTCGTCTTCATCGGAGGAGGAAGAAGACGAGGAGGAACCTGATGATGTTCAGACTCCCGCTGCTCTGCCTCGGACTGAGGATGAAGCGACTATAGATGCTGATACGCACGCGGGAGGCGCCGCGGCGCTCGCCGTGGGCGGAGCTGCCACGATGAGGCCTGCACGCAGTGGACCTTGGCTGCTACGAAACGCGCACGGCAAGAGCGTGTCAGAAAGTGGACCGGGAGCAGAGGCAGCTGCCGCGACATCTCCGAACGATGCGGTCGATGCACCCTCACCGGTGTCTGCCGCCATCAGCGCAGCATTCGAGCCTGCTGGTGCAGTGGCCGATGCTACTCTCATCGCTGCGGCATCAGAGGGCAAGATCCCAGCTTTGTCCGCCGACGAGCGGTATCACGAAGCTCTCAAGGCGGAGCTCGAAGAGAAGGTTGTCAGAGAGACCGCAAAGCAATATGCAAGGGGTGAGATGTTGTTCTCGTACGATTTCGACCTCACAACACCGCTACAGCGCAAAAACCAAAGTGCGTCGACACCATCCACAACTTCGCCGAGCTCTCAAAGAGGCCCCACTGCCTTGCCTTGGGAAGAGCCAAACGTGCGGCTACCTCTATGGAAGAGAGCTGATCCGCGCTTCTGGCACAATCAGAGCCTGAGCAAAGATTTTGTTGATGCGGGTCTGCATGGATTCGTTCTGCCTTTAGTACAAGGCTTCTTCCAAGTGGCCCAGCTGCCAGTCGACAGCCCGAGTCTACCGGGATCCCCCGACGTGGCTGGGGATGCGATGGACGAAGTCAGCGCGGCCACGACTTCCTTGCGGTCTGATGCCTATCTGCTCATTATTTCACGCCGATCGAAGGAACGTGCTGGCCTCAGGTATCAGCGCCGTGGAATTGCAGAAGATGGTAGCGTCGCCAATTATGTGGAGACCGAACAGGTGCTGCTGGTTCGCCGGTATGGCAGCAGCTCATCAGAACCGAAATCTACAGAGAAGCTCGAGGACGCCACGGCTCATACGCTCGCCTTTGTGCAATTCAGAGGAAGCATACCTCTTTTCTGGACTCAAAGCCCATTCCATCTCAAGCCTCCGCCTCAACTCGAGCGAAGCGCAAATGAAAACGCGAACGCCTGCGCTCGGCATTTCGACCTGCAGGTTGCGCGGTACGGCTCCGTGACGTGCGTCAACCTCGCGGAGCAAGGAGGCAAGGAGGGCGTCATTACGGAAGCTTACAGGAAAGCCGTCGAGAACTATGGCGGTACAACGAATGAGAGCACAGGCAAGAAGCCTGTCAGATACGTTCCGTTTGACTTCCACAAGGAGTGCGCGGGCATGAAGTTTGAGAATGTCTCCCGACTTCTTGGCCGCATGAAGGAGGAAGATGTGCTTTCAGCTATGGACTTCTATTGGAGATCCTCGGGCACAGCCATTGAACAACCCAACGTCTTCTCGATGCAAAAGGGTGCTTTCCGGGTCTCATGTCTGGACTGGTGAGACCGCGCGTTGTCGCACGCAAGCGCAGGGCACGGAGCGCTTACCGCAGCACGCCCTTCACTTCGCACAGTCTTGATCGCACAAATGTCGTGCAGTCTGCATTTGCTCGCTATATGCTTGGCGTCCAGCTACAACGCCTCGGCCTGGACGTGCCAGCTGCTCGCGGAGAACGTGACGAAGCGTTTGATTATGCCTTCAACGATAGCTGGGCCAACAACG